AAGCGCAAGGTCCTGAGTTTGATCCCCAGTACCAAAAAAAAAAAAAAAATTACAGTCTGTCCTCATCCACCTTAGTCACTGGCTCTGGTACCATGCAAATTCTAACTCTTCCCCAAAGTCAAAATAACCATGAAAAGTAGATGTTTTGAATCAATTCAGGACATTCATTGAAGCCTCTACAACAGTGTAACTGAAGACACTAGTGAAAAATGACTTTCAGAACTGCTTCAGAAGTGGCAGGAAACATGGGGTAAGTGTGTTCAAAGAAGAGGGGTCATGTAGATGGGTACTAATGGCAATGTGTCTTTTACTGAAATTTTTTTATTCAGACACACCATATTTTTCCATCACACCTTGTACACACAATTTTATTCAACTAAAGTCTTGTATCTAGAAAACAAAGAATTTACACAAGAATGAGATAACTAATCTAGTTTAAAAATTTGCAAAAGATCTGAAACAACTCAGAAAAGATATATAAATAAATATAAGCAAATTAAAAAATGTCCATCAGCTTTAGACATATCAGGGAAATGAAAATTAAAACAATTAAACACATCTGCCAGAATAAGTAAAATTTAAAAGTGACTTTACCAAATGTTAGTGAGGATATGGAGCTACTGGAACTCTCATAAACTGACAGGGGGAATACAACACAGCACAACTGCTATACATACATTTGGCAGTTTCTTATAAAAATTAAACATACACTTTGTATACAAACCATACATAGAACACCTAAGCACTTACCCCAAAGAAAATGAAAAATTTCTACACCAGTGTTCATAAAAGCTTCATTCATAACAGTAAAAAACTATGGAATAATGTTTATCAAAAGGTGACTAGATAAAATGTGCTATATGCACACACTGGTGTAACTACTAAGAAATATAACACATGTACTGATACTTCTCCCTCTCTCTCTTTTCGGTATTGGGAATTGAACTCAGGGCCTTGCACTTGCCAGGCAGGTGCTGCACTGCTGGCCCACGAATGTACTGATATAAAGAATAAATATGAAGGCATTTCAAAAACATCATGTTGAGTTAAATAAGCCAAACATGAATGAACCTAAAGACAGAACATCAAAATATATGAAATAAAAACTAATGAAAGCGAAAAGAAAATAGACAAGGAAATACTGCCCCCACCAAGGCCTTATCTGTGTAGGCACTCCTCTACTGAGCTACATCCTCAATCCTCCCTGCTTCCTCCTACTTTTTAAGACAGGATCTAATATAGTTGCCCAGGGTGCCCTTAAACTTGCAAGTCTCCTGCCTCAACCTACCAAGCAGATGGCATTAGAGGTATGCACTACCACTTTCCTCTTTTAATTATTGCTATAACAAATACACTGAAATCATTAAGTATACAAAAAACTTTACCAACACAGCCAACCAGTTTGACTTCACTGATATTTAGAAAATACACATTCCCCCCAAGTACTGGGGATTGAACCTGCGGCCTTCACATGTCCTTAGCCTTCTTTAATTTTTTATTTTGTGACAGGATCTTACTAAATCACTAAGTTGCCCAGGCTGGGCTTGAACTTTCGATCCTCCTGACTCAGCCACCCAGAGTGCTGGGATTATAGGCATGTGCCACTACACCTAGCTAAAATATACATTCTTTACAAAGACACACAGAATACTCATCAAGTTAAACTATATTCTGTCCTATAAAAAAAAGTTCATAAACTCAGACTGAAATTATATAGAGTATGTTTTCTGATTACAACACAAGTAAACTAGAAATGAATCTGTAATGAAAAACTATCTGGAAATATCCAAATATTTCTACACCAAGGAAATTAGAAATTTTTTGTTTTGTTTTGTTTTTTTGTTTTTGAGACAAGAGTCTTGCTATACAGTTCAGGATGGCCTTGAACTAACTATGTAGCCCAGGCTGGCCTCAAACTTGCGGCGATCTAACTGCTTCAGCTTCCCAGGTGCTGAAAATAGAGGTGTGCACCACCATGCTAAGAACAAACTTTAAATCAATGATGTAAACTTCCTTCTGTAGAAGACCAGGAGAAGCTAATTAAATCCAAAGTATGAAAATGAAACAAAAAAGATGAAACAAACAAAAAGAAGTGAGGAAACAAAACATACAAAATCGATGAAAACAAAAGCTAGTATTCTGAAACAAATTGATGGAATTGATAAACCTGTAGCCAATAAAGAAAAAAGTGACAGACACAAATTACCAACAACAGGAATGAAAAGGGGCCATCGCTACAGATGGTACTAACAACAAAAGAATAAAACGTATATTTTGAACAACTTTATGCCACTATAATTTACAGTTTAGATGATGAAATGGACAGATTTCTAAAGAGATACAACCTCCAAAGTTTTCCAAATTAAAAACAATTGATAACCCGAATAGTGTTATGTTCTATTATAGAACTGAACCACTCACTAGTTTACCGTCTTGTAAAGAAACCTCCAGACTGAGATGGCTTCATTGATGAGTTCTAACAAACATTCAAGGAAGAAACAATTCCAATTCTATGCAAATTCTTTAGAAAATATTTTATCAGGCAGCACTACCCTGATATCAAATAGAAAAACTATAGACCAAATCCTTTATGAACCACAGACCAAAACTCTGTAAGTGTATTTGCAAATTCATCAACCAATATATACAAAAGTATTATATCACAACCAGATGGTGTTTATCCTAGGGCTAAGTTTAACATCTTAAAATCAATTATTATAATTTACCATAGTAATAGAGAAAATTTATATAATTCAACAACCACCAGATGGGGGGGTAGGGAAAGGAGATTGAAAATGATTAAGATATGATAAATATGTGTGCTAATTCCTCAAAACAAATATTACTACTATGTACTGCAAACACATACTAATTAAAAAAAATACCAATAAATGCAGGAAAATCTTTCGACAAATTTCAACACCCATTCATGATAAAAAATCATCAGCACACTAGAACTTCTTCAAGCAGATTTAAAAAGAAGAAAAACAAAAACCAATGAGGTTGAAGCTCAGAGGCACAGTACTTGCCTAGTATGTGTGAGACCCTAGGTTCAACCTCTAGCACTGCAAGAAAACCAAAACCAGTTGCATACTTGTAATCCCATGCTCAGGAGGCTGAGGCAGGAGGATCACAAGTTCAAGCACAGCCTGGGCATTTTATCGAGACTCTGTCTCAAAATAAAAATTTTAAAAAGGGCTGGGTATGTAGCTCAGAAGGGAGGCCCTGGGTTCCATCCACAGTACTGCAAAAGGAAGACAAAAAGAAAAGAAAGAAAAAAGAAAAAGAAAACCCAAACTAAAAACAAAAATCACTAACAGCTATTGTCATACTCAGTAGTGAAAGACTAATGCTTTTCGTCACAAGACAAGAATGTCTGTGCTCACAGTTTCTATTCAAAATCATATACTGAAGGTTCTAGACAATGTAGTAACCAAGCAAGACAGAAAAGAGTTACTATAATGACAGAGTTTAGAAAGGTCACAGGCAGGTCAATATAACTGTATTTTCATACGCTAGCAAAAAAATGGGAAATTAAATAAAAATATAATTTACAATAACATTTTAAAAAGTTCCAAGGATTAATATACACGAACATTTGTGTTTGCGGCTGATACAATGAAAACAACAAAATATACTGGGAGAACTTTCTTTTTTTTTATTTTTTTGGTGCTTGGGATTGAACCCAGGGACTTGTGCATATGAGGCTACATCATAGTGAGCTACGTCACTAGGCATGCTGAGAGAATTTAAAGATATCTAAATTAAAGATGTGTACCATATTCTTGAGCTGGAAAGTTATATTATCGCTAATGATTACTGTCTTTGAATTTAAACTAATAAGCATTTTATTTATTATTTATTTTTGTTTGTTTTTTTGAGACAAGCTTGTCTCATTCAGTAATATATTTTCATTAATTCAAGGAAATACACTTTTGTCCCAGGATAGCTTCTGGAAGAACATTGAAAAAGTAGGAAATGGGGACCAACTTCCTGCAGGGGAAGATGGAAAGAAGGATTTAGGTGGAGAAAACCATATGCACAAATGTCTTTTTTTAAAAAAAACAAGCAACTGAGCACTATGGTGCAAGCCTATAATCCCAGCATTCAATAGGCCAAGGCAGGAGGATCACTGTAAGTTTGAGGGCAGCCTGGGCTACAGTGTGAGTTCAAGCCAGCCTGGACTACACAGTGAGACTCTGTCTCAAAAAACCAAAATAAACAAAGAAAACCATAAACCAAAATAACTTTCAGAAATGCGTACAGCCATCACCTCACCTGAGCCATGGTTCTGAGATTTGGAAGAGATGACCAGTCTTTCCTCTGGGCTTCTCTTTAGAAAAGGGGCAGTTCCTAAGACAGCAAAGACAAGACAAGGGAAGAAAAAAACCCACATGAGGCAATACATGCTTTATAGGTCTCCTGTAACTTATGACTCAATTAAAACTACTTCCACTTTTAGTCCTTGTTTATTCTGCACATCCTACATAAGTATGGGGGGGTATAATAAGTTAGACAAATCTTGTTTTATTTCCAAATTCTGAGACACAGGGTTTGGGGAAGCAGCACAGACCTGGGGACAAGCTCTTCTCCCTTCAAGCATCAGATTTCTCTCCTGAGCAGCCAACTGTTATTCACTATTCCCCTAAGCTGGTCTCTCTTAAGGGTCTCTCATTTACATTTACACTACCACTAGTAACATGAGAACAATCATCACCTCATCCCCTAAGGAACACTACTGATACACACTTTTATGTTTGCCTAATAGGAATAAAATGTGATTATAATTTTTAGTTTTATTATGAGAGAAGTTTCATGGTAAGTTAAAAGCATCTTTCATTTCTTGAATGTAGGTCATTTCATTTTTCTCTCAGGTTATTTTTATCCTCTAGATTAGATCTTTTTTAAAGGAAGGAAATTTATCCTTTTATGGTGTATGAGTTGCAGATGATTTTTTAAAGTTTCTCATTTGACTGTTTTTCTCACACAAAAATACAATTTAAGGGCTGACTGAGGGTATAACACAGTCTTAGGACCATGCTTGCCTAGAATGAATGAGGTCGTAGGCTCAATTTCCAGAAATGCAAAAAGAAAAATTAGAAATTATTTTGGGTTTGGTGATACAGCTGAGTGGTAAACCACATGCTTAGCATGTACAAGGCTGAGTCCAATACTCAGGACTTAAAAAAAAAAGTTTACCCGTATGGTTAGTACCACCAGCTATTCAATAATCTGGGGCTGGGGATTTAGCTCAGTGGTATCGTGCCTGCCTCGCAAGCACAAGGCAGTGAGTTCAATCCCTCGTACCAAAAAAAAAAAAAAATCTGTATTTCCCTCACTCATCAAAACCATCTTTATCGTGTACTTTACTTTCTTCATATGCAATACATGAGTAGATCTGGTTATATATTTATTTAATTCCATTGATCTGTTCATGTAAATACGTAGTTATTACAGGGGTTTCTGGTGGTATTGTTTATTTTTTGAGACAGGCTTTCATTATGTAGTTCAGTCTTGCCTTGAACTTACTATGTAACCCAGGCTGGCCTCAAACTCATGGCAATCTTCATGCCTCAGCTTCCCAACTTCTGGGATTACAGGTATGTGCCACAACAGGCTTATGCCAGTTTTAAAACATTTTTATATCTACTAAAACTATTCCCCCTTTGATTATTTTTCTTTCAGGATTTCTGTTTGTTCATTATCTCCTAAGAATTTTAGTTCAAAAATTTTACTGAGGGCCGGGGATTTAGCTCCATGACTCCGCTGCCTGCCTTGCCAATGCAAGGTCCTGAGTTCGATCCCTGGTACAAAAAAAAAATTTTTTTTACTGGTACTGGATTCCACTTAAATGAGAGCTCTGTTATTTTATCATGTTGTATTTTGTCTTTTTAGTCAAGTCTTAATTTTTAATTTATTTTTTATTTTTTCAAGTCTTAATTTTTAAATGTGCTTTTTCTGGAACACATCATGCAATTCCTAGAGTTGTTTCCTTTGTCATATTTTTGGTTTTGGTACCAGGGATTGAACTCACGACCTTGCGCTTGCAAGGGAGTTATGGTGCCACTGAGCTAAATCCCCAGCCCCCTTTGTCATATTTTTGATGGTCAGTGTACATATAATCTTTTTTCCCCACAGTTTTCTGATATTTTGATATCAGCTATTGGTTGTTTACTATGGGTTTTCTGTTGTCACTGTTCATTTTCACAAGGATGGTAACTTACAAATCTGCCTCAGTCTCAACTCATATTCCAAAGAGGGTGAGTGAAACAAAATTCAGAATCCTTCATTCTAAAATAGGGTCTTCTAAAGCTGCTGGCTAAAAAGTTTTGCTATCATTAATATAACTCCTTATAAGAGGCTGAGAGAAGAATGACTCTTTAAGAAAGTAAATTGTTTCTTGAAACCTGTTTTCCAGGGGGAAGAAAAATGGGTGCTTCTTCATAACAAACAAGGGGTCCCTCACAGCTTGATGTCACTAGCAACTGAAGTGCTAAGAGAGAATTCTTGGCCAAAATGTACATATTCCTAGGACATGGGAGGGCAAGGTGATCTAGGAGGATAATTCTCACCTTAAACCTAGATGAGGACCCCATGGATGGAGACTATCTGGGTTGTTATGGATCCTATCCAAGAAGACTGACTGGGCCATCAAGATTCACCAGAGCAAGTGGGCCACTGCATGCTTGGAGGAAGCACTGAGGCAGCAGGTGGAAAAGAGGCTGTGTATCTGGAAGTTGACAGAAGCAGGTTCTCTCAGAAGATAAGAGATGACTTTCACTAAATTATAGTTGGCCTCCTCTTGTCCCTAACTTCTGACTTTTCTTCTTTCCCAGCTCCTAATCCATTTGAACTGGAGATTAGTCACCTATAGGAGTAAAGAGGAGACAAAATAGAGATTGGGGAATTAAGAGAAAAAACTTGATCATTAACCTTTCACACTGCAGACTTCTAGCAGGAAGAAAAGTTTTTGCCTTTGCTTTTGCTATGTAGTTCAAGTTGCCCTTGAACTCACTATGTAGCCCAGGATGTCTTGATCTCACAGAAATCCTCTTGCCTCAGCCTCCTGAGTGCTGGGATTATAGATGTGTGCCAACATGCCAGGAAAGAAAGATTTTTGCTTTTAAAACAAATTTGAAATTTGATTTCTTTAGTCAACATTTTAATTAGCTAAGTGAATTGAGGCTGATCTTGTTTAAATGTTCAAAAGATTTCATTATCTTAAGAATGTGAAATTATTGTATTTCCCAGGAATTCATCCAGCAGAAGAAAAAAAAATCGCCCAAAATAGAAATTTTGACAGTGGCAGTTAAAGGATAAAGTTTTTGTTTTGCAATACTGGAGACTGAGCATAGGGCCTTTGCACAGAGCTGTATCTTCAGTTCTTTTATTAAAATTTGAAACAGCATCTCACTGAATTGCTCAGGCTGGGTTTGAAGTTGGCAAACCTCTTGTCTCAGCCTTCCAGAGGTCAAGGATTACAGGCATGCACCACTATGCTTGGCACCTGAAAATTATTTTTATCTCCACCTCTTATTTGTCTAATTGCCACATAGTCAAATTCTACAGGCATGTGAAATGGCCAATTTTCAGAAAACCTAAACAATATGTATCTAAGTAGTCAGCACCCAGTTCATTCACACAATGAGCCACATTAAGTTATCATGGATTGCTGCACACAAAATACTACAAAAATGAGACACAGTCACAATTGTATCACCCACCACAGTCATAATCTTGTAGCCCCCAAATCAGGTGCAATATCAGAGCCATAAGATACTTTTTTCTATACAAAGTATCAAAAATACACTGATAATTCCGTCTCTTCTCCAAATTCGCACCTTCTAAAACACAAATGAACGCTCATCTTTTTTAAAATTTAGAGCCTCGTAAAGACCCCCTCACTTTCTTAAATAATCAGCTCCACATCACCTTAAGTAACATATGCTCCCCCACCCACAAAGACAGGCACAAAAAGCCACTCAAATCTCGCGCCTGTTGTGTGCCAATCTGCACTCCATACTCTGGGATTTCATGGTAAAGGGGAGGAAAAAAATACAGAATTCCTGCCCTTGCTGAGCTCACACTAGCCTCGGGCTCCAGGTACCCCTTTCGGTGCTCCCAGACTGGAGCTCCCGGGTCCTAGGTTTTTGCTTCCTTCCAAGTCTTTTCTGGGGCCTGTACTCTCCCTTCCCTCTTCGTCTTCCTCGGCCCAGGTGTTTTTTTTTCTTTTCTTGTTTTTTACCCTAGCTCCTGCCTCCCTCTTCGACCTCCCCAACGGGTCCCCACTATCACCCCGACCCTTCGCGCCTGGACTAACCACTCGCCTCACCTTCGGGCACTGGCCGGCATTCCGCGCCTGCGCACTCCCGAGAAGTCCCTGTCTCCCAGGGGTCTCCGCGGCGTGTTCCTCTGGACCTCGGTCTACGCGCGCCTTCTTGACATCCGGGCTTTTCCCTCCTTGAACTACATCTCCCACAGACCCCCAGGCCGCTTTCGAACTTTGATAGCGGATTCTACATTTAAATCTTTGCCGCCGTCTGTCTGGCTCCAAGGGATGACCTGAGTCTGGGTCCAAGAGACGATGTGATAAAGCAACCCTGACTTCACAGGATTCGTGGACCCTGGAGCTCAGATCTATGTATGCCTGTGTGAGTGTGTGTATGGCTACGAGGAGGCATGAGTGTGATTGTCGGGTACCTGCTCGGATGCGGGAGCTTTTGGGTGACAGCTGTGATGTGGGGTATGTGACACTGTGGGATTTGAGAACATCCATCATATGACATTTCTTCTGTGACCTACTGTGATGGAAGAGACTTTTAATTCTGTGATGTTGACTGTTGTAAGGGGTAGAGTTTTCTTTCCGCAGTTCTAATTTTGGGACTAAGGAGGTTTTTTTGTTTGTTTTTGTTTTTTGTTTTTTGTTTTTGGTACTCGGAACCTTGCGCTTGCGAGGCAGGCGCCAGAACCACTGAGCTAAATCCCCGGCCCCGAGTGTTTTTGAAGGAAGATTTTCCTTATAGGATATCTGTGCCTGTGAAGACTACAATCGACATATATGGTAAAGAGGATCGCTTTGATAAGAAGGATGGCTTGATTTGTCTTCATCAGGCCACCCCCACTTCCACTGCCCAGCCTGGTATAGGTGGAATAGGTGGGTGAGTCCTGCTTAAGGAGCCAGTATTAGGTTGAGTGTTCCTTGGGATCTGTACCCTTGAATTCCCTGATGCTTCTTTTTTCCTCCAGCTTTATAGCTTTGTGGGCTCCAGCTGCAGAGAAATGATCAACCAAAAGGAAGTCAGGTATTTGAATGGTAGAATACAGGCTGGAAACAAAAGGCACAAACCTGTTTTTTTTTTTTTGGTACCGAACTCGGGTTCTTGAGCTTGCGCCGCAGGCAGCGAAACCACTGAGCTAAATCCCCGGCCCCACAAACCTGTTTTTTGGAAAGAGGATTTTAGAGTTGGAAGTGACCCTTAGGCAGAATTCTATCAAGACATAAGAGAATCTAGGAATAGTATTTCTTCTTTGGAGGATCTCTCTTGGAAAGTCTCTGAGGTCAAGTCCCACGTTTCAGAAACACATCACTCTCAGAGCTATCTCCCCAGGAATCTGCAGTGAATTTAGCTTCCAGCTCAGGGTATCAGTGACTTTGGCCTTTCTCTTGGATATTCAGAAATGTGTTAGCAGTACTGTCATTTCCCTTTTACTGCCTGAAAATTAACAATAATTTTGACTCCATTATAATAAATTAGTTTTGTCTGGAATTGAAATTTATATAAATGGAATCATACAGCATATAATCTGCATACAGGCACCTTGCTTAACATTGTATCTCTTATTATAAAGGTACTGGGAATTGAACCTGGGGCCTTCTTTTTTTTTTTCCTTAAATTCTTTTATTGGTACATTTTAGGTATACAATACATTTACATTTATCATTGGGAACTTGTACCTTTACATGATGTATCTTGGTTCTTGTTTTTTCCCCATTCCCCTGCCCTCCCTTCACCCCTTCTACCCTTCCCTATTTACAAAGACTTTGTTTCTATTTTTTCCTTTTCTCATATTTTTTCCTTTCCCTTCTTTCCTTTCCCCTACCCCTCCTACTTCCCCTACCCCTTTGGACCTTTTCTTCCAATTTCACATTATCAATTCTTCATTTTAATCCTTATTTACACTTTCAGTTTCTCACACCACAGAAACTATTTGGTATTTACACTTGTGTGTCCTATTTATTTCACTTAAGAGTATAACCTCAATGTGTATCCATTTAGCTATAACTGTCTCTAGTTTGTCATCCTTTACGGCTGAGTAGTACTCCATTTTATAAAAAAACACATCTTCTTTATCTAGTCTCCAGTTGATGGGCACTTGGGCTGTTTCCAAGCTTTAGCTATTACAAACTGTGCCACTATAAACATGGGTGTGCATATATTGCTGTGATAGGATTCTTCTAATTCTTTTGGGAAGATACCCAGGAGAGGAATACCTGGGTCAAATGGGACCTCTAGCCCTAGTTCTTTGAGGTATTGCCATACTGATTTCCACAGTGGTTGCACCAGTCTGCACTCCCACCAACAATGGAAAAGGGTTCTTTTCTCCCCACAACCCCGCCAACATTTGTTATTGGTTGATTTCTTGATAGCAGCCATTCTTTGTGGGGTGAGGTGGAATCTCAGTGTTGTTTTCATCTGCATCTCTCGAATGACCAGTGATATTGAACATTTTTTCATATGTTTATTTGCTGCTTTTATTTCTTTGTCTGAGAAATGTCTGTTCATTTCAGATACCCATTTTTGAACTGGGTCTTTAAATTTGGGTGGTCTGATTTTTTTAAGTTCTTTATATATTCTAGATAGTAGTCCTTTGTCTGAGGTACAGCTGCTAAAAATTTTTTCCCACATTGTATGTTGTCTCTTAGCTCTGTTGGTGGTTTCTCTTGCAGTTCAGAAGCTTTTTAATAAGATGAGATCCCAGTTGTTGTTTTTTTTTTTTTTTGGTACTGGGCATTGAACTCAGGACCTTGCGCTTGTGAGGCAGGCGCTGGAACCACTGAGCTAAATCCCTGGCCCAAATCCCAGTTGTTGATTCTTTGCAAGCACTCTTATTTCTGACCTATAAACCCAGCCCTTTAAAAAATATTGTTTTGAGACAGGGTCTTGCTAAATTGCTGAGCCTGGTCTCAAATTTACAATCCTCCTGCCTCAGCCTCCTGAGTAGGTGAATTTAAAGGCATGCACCACCATGCCCACCTTTATACCAGTCTTTTGATGTATTTATGAACTCAATCAGTATGGCGCATATGTCTATAATCTCAGCACTGTAATAGCCAAGCGTGGTAGTAGTGCATGCCTACAATCCCCCGCCTGAAGCAGGAGGTATTCGAGGCCAGTCTGGGTTACATAGTGAGTTGAAGGCCAGCCTGAACTATGTAGCAAACAAAACAATATATATTCATATATTCCCAGCACTGTGAGTGGCTGAGGCAGGAGCACCCCAAGTTCAAACCCAGTCTGGGCAACTTGAGAGAACCTTTCTCAAAACAAAAAGGCCTGAGGATGTAGCTCAATACAAAAATATTTGGTTCAGACCTTAGTACCACAAAACAAATGAGTCAGTTGTGTTATATATCAAACAATACTGTATTTATTTGATCCCTGGTACCAAAAATATACTGTATTTAGCTTTAATAGATATTGAAAATAGTTTTTTGTTTGTTTGTTTTTTGTACAGGGGATTGAACTCAGGACCTTACACTTGTGAGGCAGGTGTGGTACCACTGAGCTAAATCCCCAGGCTGCAAAATAATTTTTGAAAGTGATTATTCCATTGTACAATTCCACCTGCAATGTATGAAAATCATAGTTGCTTCATGTCATTGATAACATTTTCAGTCTTAAATTTTAGTCATTCTAGTGGGTATGAAGTGTGGTACACTGTAGATTTAATTTGCATTTGCCTTATAATTAATACTATGATCATCAGTTCCAATGATGATGGAATAACTCCACTTCACAGAGTTAGAATAAAGAAAATTTAAATAAAGTTTTTACAATATAAAAATAAATGCATAGCTTACTGAAAGGTATATCCCTGCAGTAGCACAGTGAAAACATTTTGCTGTCTTTGCCAGTTGAAAGCAAACTGTTTCTGATGATCTTTAACAGGGATATTGAAAAAAATTGCCAGATGAATAGCTGTGTACCAAGTACCAAGCAACAAAACCACATTTGGTACAGCAGCTGCAACTGTAGTCACTACCGGGTTAAACTAATAATAAAACCACTGTCATTCTTCAAGATCCATCTGTATTCCATACAGGCCAAATAGGCAAGTTGAATGAGGATATGGTGGGAATCACCACTCTCATCTTTCAAATACTTAAAATGGTAATATGTACTAATCTCTGAAAATCTGTAGGAATGTGATACTGTTTTTGGTTTACTATTTTTCTAGGTTGAAGCAGTCTTTCCCACTATACTAACCCTCTGTCCAGAGACTCAATGTGGGGTTTCTAACAGGTATTAAGTATGTATATACCAATTATGCATTCTGGCACCAGAGGAATAACCACAGAAAAGGTTTGGGGACCCACTGCACCCCCACGGAGACAGGCCACAGCTTAAAGTCTATTGCTCACCATAAGACCCACTCTGACTGGCAGACTATAGTGATGTTTTGAGTCCCTTGGAATTAGTGTCACTTCAGAGTCAGTGTCTAGTAATCCCTAAAAGGTCAATGTAGTAACCCTGGTGAAAGCCATAGGTCACTTTGGTGAGGCTGACAGAAAAATTAATAGTATTAATTTCTGGATGTGTAACAGAGCTCTTTCACCAGGAGACCTGGGTTCCCCTTTATTCTGAGTCTATATACTGGCTCAAGTCTGGGAACTGATTGAGGGAACTTAACTTTGTTTTTATTATTTATTTATTTATTGGTACCGTGAATCAAATTCAGGACCTTGCGCTTGTGAGGCAGGCAGTGCCACCACTGAGCTAAATCCCCAGCCCATTGGCTTTGTTTTTATTACTTAAGCTAAGCTTTTGTTAGTTTGACCTAGAATTCTTCCACTTCTGCAAATCAAGTAAGAATTCAGCAGATCGTCCACCTATTTAATTTCCACCAAAGAATACTAACTGTACTCCCAGATAGTTATCCTATAACAGAGATTTCCTTTAAAATCTTCTTCCATGGTCTATTTGTATTCATCACAGCAAATTATTTCGTATTTTCTGTTTTAAGTTAGATTTTTAAAAATATCTTTTCAAATTTTCAAGTACTTTAAAATTGATGTTAACCATCATCTTTTAGAGGTAAGGAAAATGAACCTTAGAGTAGTACCACCTCATCCTCAATCTCACAACACTCTAATTCAAATGTTTTACACAGTTACTACATTCAGATAATTCACAGACTTTCATCTCGACTTTAACTCACATAATATTCACACACACACACACACACACACACACAGTAACATCAACTTTCACATGATGTCCCATATCGACTTAAAGATACAAAAGAATGATCACCTCCCTTATACTGTCATACAATTCAGCCAGAGACTTGAGCACATTCACACACACACACTTTCATGTATGCCACTTGATGTCCTGTCCCATTGATGGTCAAGCTCAAATCATCTCATAATACATGATCAAGAATAACACACAGAAACACAATCACTTGTTCTCAAACTGAAGCAATATGTTTTCAAAACACACAGCGATGGAGTCACTGGTTTCTCAGCAAGGTTAAGTCTTTCCCATGGATTTGTCTCTCTGGACTGATAATATGTACTAGCTTTCACTCTTCTCCGTTCACACACAAAAAATCACATTGCTCTCATGCACAAATCTAAGGCTCAGGACAAGGTCGCCCTGCCTGAGGGATAATCCCAACCAGTTTCCTCTTTTGCCAGGATCCAAACTCACTTTGCAGACATGTGTCACAGCCAACTAGGTATAATGGACCCAGCACAGCTTCACAGAATGTTACAAAATCAGCAGTCCGCAAAAACGGTTTCACACGGCTTTTCACAAAACACGTTGTGACACACATCTCACCACATTATAACACCTCCCAATCACTGGAAGAGTGGCGAGCTCCAGACACTTGCCCATGCGGGCAAGGGCCGAGGCTTTAGCTCAGTGCTTCCGCCTCCTGCCTCGCAAGCGCAAGGTCCCGAGTTCCATTCCCGGTACCAAAAGACAAAAAACAAAAAACCCAAATGAGTCTTAGCTGGGGATTTAGCTCAGTGGTGGTGCCGCCTTCCTCGCAAGCGCAAGGTCCTGAGTTAGATCCTCTGTACCAAAAAAAAAAAAAAAGCAAACCAAAAACCGAAACCAAAACCAAAACCAAAAAAAAAAAAAAAACAACCCCATGCAGGCAGACAGCACAGCCACTTTCTTAAAAGGTCTCAAAACCATTTCACCTACAAATCCTCACGCTGGACACCTTCACTGTCAGGGGCACATATCTCTTCTGCCTCTCACCTTCGGGCATGCGCATATGCGAACTCACAACAAAAAGCATCTCCCAGCACAACTTCACAAATACAGGCCAGGTTCCTCCTCAATAGCTAACAACAATTCTTTTAAATCACGGCAGGAGGTCGCTCTAAGAGCAGAGGTAGCCACCGTGCCAATTCTAAAATCTGTCTTGAAAGGTCTCTGAAATTTGAATCCCAGCCAACCGTGCATTTTTGGCGTCACGCCAGCCCCTGAGGAAAGGTTCAGCTCTCTGGCTCTTCCGGTCGGACTACGTTTCCCACAGGACCCTGCTGCCTAAGGTACTTCCGGTAGGAGCTTCAGTGAAAAGGTCCAGTGGTGAAAGGCAGGTTAGGTCCGGATGGTAGGGCTGGACAGCGGCTTTTGCTGGAATCTGAATCAGAATTTGAATCAGAACCTTTTTTGAGGATGCCAAAGGTGAGGAATCTGGATCATCAGGACTGGATCGTGGAAGAGGAATGAATATCAGTAGATTTAGGCCTCTGAGTGCAGGAGTTGGGGGGCGGTGTTTTGAGAGTATGTAGGAGACTAAGGTTTATCTTTGCGGTGTGTGTGGCTGTTGTGACAGCGACTGTGTGATTGTGCTTTTGTGCCAGTAACTGTTTGCGAGACCATTTGTATGAATGGAGTTTATACGTTACTGTAATCACGATTGTGGTGGCTAAGTCCCATTCACTTACAAGAAAGAAAAGTAGTACAGTTACATAAACTGTTACACTCATGCAGTTAGGGATGCACTGGAGTAGTCAGCTATAGATTCACACACACAACACAAAGCCAAAATTATACTATTCACCCCACATTTATTATCACACAGCCTCAGGAAAAGCTACATATATAGTATGAGTATGTGTATATGTATTTTGATTTTTTTCACAATATACATAATACAAAATAATTTCTTATTAAAAGCTTTTTGGGAGGCTGACGGTATGTAGCTCAGAGGTGAAATGCTTGGCTAGCATGTGTGAAGCCCTCGGTTTAATCCCCAGGAACACACAAATACACTCAAAAAGGTACAGTATTTGTGTTTTTTAAAATCTGTAATCAAGGACACACTTAAGATTTTCCAGGTACGATTCTTCTTTCTTTCTTTCTTTCTTTCTTTCTTTCTTTCTTTCTTTCTTTCTTTCTTTCTTTCTTTCTTTCTTTCTTTTCTTTCTTTCTTT